TGGAGATTTGGGGGCTGTGCCTACGGATGCGGGAATCTGGGGAGGGAATTCACCTAGAATCTATAGTATACCATAAAGTTTGACCTCCAAAATGGCCACTTTTCCCAAGGAACTGATCCCTGCAGTCTGGAGATCAAGTAGAATCCCAGGAGATCTCCGGGCCGCACCTGGAAGTTGGCAGCCCTAGGTACAGAGGCATGGGGTTGGCCACCCAATGAAAGGAGCTAAGGGCTCAGCCATTCTACCGTTTAAAAGAATGGAAGGGTTTCCGCACTCACTGGCATGGCTTTCGGCATTTTTGGAAGCAGCCGTGCTTGTGACTGGCAAACTGATCGTACTGTCGGTAAAAGCAGTGACCTGAGGGAAGAAGAAAGAACGTGGTCAGGAGAAGGCAGCTGAAAACCTGAATTTGGCTTAGAGACATCAACCCAAGGGGTCCCAGAAACAACCCGAATAAAGTTTTATTGGCACTTTCTGATTCCAGCCAACTACAGTTCGGTGGCTGTGCCTATTGCCATCCAAATCCTGTTCGATTAGCATTTCCTGTTTCTAATGGAATATACTCTGGTTGGCACCAATGTTCCCTCTAAGCTGTGGAGTCTTGTGAGCAAAACTTCTACTTTGTGAGCTATGGGCACTAAAGTTGTGGGTGAGCGATTTGGGTACTGCAGACATTAGTCTGCTCTGGAGCCCTCCTTCCTGAGCCAAGACAAAAATGGGTGAGCTGGAGGCTAAAGAACTGTGAGCTGGCTCACACTAGCTCAGCTTAGAGGGAACACTGGTTGGCACTTCCTGTTTCAAACTGCCAGAGCTTGCGTCAGAAAGGTTCAGGGGGTGAGAACGTCAGAAGAGCCCTGCTGGATCAGAGCAGTGGTCCATCTAGTCCAGCATCCTGTCTCACACGGTGGCCAACCAGTTCCTCTGGAGATCCAATAACTGGGCATAGAGACTGAGAACTTCCCCTGATGTTGCCTCCTGGCTTTGGGATTCAGAGGATTAGTGCCTCTGAATGTGGAGGTTCCCTCAGTCACCATGGCTAGTAGCCACTGATAGGCTTGTCCTCCATGAATCGATCTAATCCTGTTTTAAAGCTGTCCATTCCTGTGGCCATCACATTCCACATTTGAATCACTCTCTGTGTAAAGTAGTATTTCCCTTTGCCTGTCCTGAACCTACTTCCCATCAGTTTCATTGGATGAAACTAGTCTTTTGGGAGAGGGAGAGCGGCTCCTCCTATCTACTATCTACCTCCTGTTTCCTGAGGAGGTTCTTTTGCGTGTGCATTGGCTGTTGATAAGATTAGAATTTCAACAGCCAATCCACATGCAAAAGAACCTCCTCAGGAAACAGGAAACCTCCTCAGGAAACAATCCATATACAAAAGAACCCCCTCAGGAAAGTTCCTCCATTAGCATGCTCACAGCCTAGGGAACTCCAACAAGATAATGACTCAGCCCTACCCCACCTTCCTGAGTAGATCTAAATTACCTGCCTACCCTTTTTCTTCTCACCTTGACACAGAGAGTACTCCATCTTTCTGTGTTATACCTCTAAGGATGCCAGTCACAGCTACTGGCGAAACGTCAGGCCCTACAGTGCCAAGGCCACGGCCACACAACCCGGAAAATCTACAACGGCTAATTAATTAATCTGTCGCCTAGAGGTCAGTTGTTGTAATAGCGGGAGATCTCCAGGCACCACCTGGAGGTTGGCAGCCCTGTTCAGCCAAGGGACTTCAGAAGTTGGGTATCACCCCATAGAGTCCACCTTCCAAAGCAGCTGTTTTCTCCAGCGGAACTGATCTCTGCTACATGGAGATCAGCCGTCATCCCAAGAGATTTCCAGCCACCACCTGGAGCTTGGCAACCCTACATGTTGTCAACTGGCCACCCATGTCTTAGAAGGGACTTAAATACATGGAACGGGCAGGGCTATTTTTGGGCAGGAACGCACAGGAACGGAGTTCCGGCTGGCTCCCGAGTTGGCCACGCCCAGCAGGAACTCATTAGCATAATAGGCCACACCCAACAGCAGGAACTCATTAGGATTGGCTACATTAGGGGTGTGTGGCCTAACATGCAAAGGAGTTCCTGCTACAAAAAAAGGCCCTGGGTTTTGACAACAAACAAGGTAAACAGAATAAGAAGCAAAAGGTGGGTGTGGCTGGATGAGCACACTTCTGGTAACATGAGGTTGCGGCCTAATGTGCTAATGAGCTGTGCTGTCATGGGGTGTGGCCCAATACGCTAATGAGTTTCTGCTGTTGGGTGTGGCCTATTATGCTAATGAGTTCCTGCTGGGCTTTTTCTACAAAAAGAGCCCTGGGAACGGGTGGAGCTCAACAGCCCAATCGGATGGTCCCGCACGCTCGCAGTCATGCGCGCCCTCACCCCAGTCAGGGTACTCGTTGTAATTGCAGTACTTGTCCTTACGGTCGGGCAACGGGTAGTAATAATATCCACAGCCGCAGTGCTTAATCATCAGCTGCTGGAAGCAGAAATGCAGACAAGCCTGTGAGGGGGAACGAGAGGGAGAGAGAGGGGAAAGGGAACTGTTATTAGTAAGTCTCCTGTCCTTATGGCCAGTGGGCAGAGGCCCGGGCTTGGCAGAACTGCGCCGGAGGGCCACATCAATGACGGCTGCGGGACCGAGGGCGAGGAACAATGGGCCAAGGAAAAGGGGGTCGGAGGGGAAACATTGCACAGGGTCAAGAGGAGGGAGAGACCTGAAGGAAAAAGACTCGGAAGAGGAGCAGAAGCGGTGTGCAGTCGGGTCGCCAGCTCTGGGTTGGGAAATACCTGGGGATTTGGGGGGGTGGAGCCTGAGGAGGGCGGGGCTTGTGGAGGGGAGGGACTTCAATGGGGTACAATGCCACAGAGTCCACCTTCAGTTGTCATCTGGATGTTGGCAATCCCAGAAAGGACTACAGAAGAAAGAAGAGTAGAAGGGGGTGGGAGACATCATAGAGGGTCTGAGGACAGGTAGAGGGTTGAGGAGGGAAAGGGGAAAGGAAAGAGGAGGGAGGCTATTGAGGGAAGGAAGGACTAAGGGAGGAGAGCTGAGGGGAAATGTCACTTCGGGCTCAGGAATAGGAGGCGGTTGAGATCGGAAGGGGATTGGAAGAGGAATGGAAGTGGGGGAAGCTGGGGGGAAAGGAGAGTTAGGGAGGGAAAGTAACCAGGCGCCATAGTTAGGTCAAGAAACACAGGAATCCGGATCTGCGGGGCAATGCTAAGAAGGCAAAGGGGAGGGGGACCGAATTGGAAAGAATCAATTGATAACTGTTGGTAGTCTTCCGGGAGTAGGGGGGGAGGTGTAAAAATGAGCAGACCAGCTTGGCAAGCAGACCCCCTCCCTGGCCGGTACCTGCAGCGTATAATTGCTCTTGTAGATAAGTGTGACATTCACGTCCTTCCCGTCTTCTGTACAGTCACCATAATTTCCGCTCAAGCGAGTTACCTCGACCTGTGGAGTCATGGAAAGAGAAGAGAGTATCACCAGGCGGTTCAGATCAGAGACACTGGAGTTCTGTACTGCTCAAGGTAACATTATGAAACTAGTTAAACAAGGAAGAAGGGGGCGGCAAAGGATGAGATGGTCAGACAGTGGTATCAAGGCAACGAACATGAAATTAAGCAAACTCTGGAGCATGACGCAAGACAGGAGGGCCTGGCGTGATCTGGTCCATAGGGCCACGAAGAGTCAGACTCGACTGTGCAACTGATCAACAACAACAAGAACAAATCTCTTTCTGGCTCACCTAGGGTTGCCAACTCTGGATTGGGAAATTCCTGGAGATTTGGGGGAGCCTGGGAAAGGGTTATACCACCATAGTGGTATGGCCATCTTCTCCAGGGCACTGGTCTCTGAACTCTGGAGATCAACTGTACTTCAGGGAGATCCTGATATCCCACCTGGAGGCTGGCAACTCTGCTCTCACCGCCTCTATCAGTCACACAGCCGGAGAAGCAATTCTAGCCTTTTTAGACGGCATGAGTCCCCCAACAGCCAGCAGCGCATCCCAGCCCCTCCCCGGCAGACTATCTCGGTGCAGTATTTAGACTTCTGTGCATCGTTACGTCATTCGTGCTGTATGCATCCTGTAGAGTTTTGTGTGCAGCTTTACAGTATTTATACATATAATATGTCATGATGATTTCTTCATGTATATATTTAAAATGTGTACGTTTTGGGGGGGAATATTCCTTGTACGAAAACCGAACACAGCACGAAAGCGAACAGCCGCCGGTTCCATTCGCACAAGCAAGAAGCAAGAGCGAAATGAGGTCAGAACTTGAGATCAAAACAGCCTGGGTGAGAAGTCCAGCCTTCTCCCCCCTGCTCCCTGCTGGCTTTCTTCGTGGGTGTGGCTGGATGACCACACTTCTGGCAACATGGGGGTGCAGCCTAATGTGCTAATGAGCTGTGCTGTCAGGGGTGTGGCCCAATATGCTAATGAGTTTCTGCTGTTGGGTGCGGCCTATTGTGCTAATGAGTTCCTGCTGGGCTTTTTATACAAAAAGAGCCCTGTATTATATGTATAATATGTCATGATGATTCCTTGATGTATATATTTAAAATGTGTACGTTTGGGGGGGAATATTCCTTGCACGAAAACCGAACACAGCACGAAAGCGAACGGCCGCCGTTTCCATTCGCACAAGCGAGAAGCGAGAGCGAAACGAGGTCAGGACTCGAGATCAAAACGGCCGGGTGGGAAGTCCAGCCTTCTCCCCCCTGCTCCCTGCCGGCTTTCTTCCTACTCTGAGAAGCCCTTTCCCGAGACGGGGAGGCCCACCTGTTTGATTCCGATGGTGGATTCGATCCCCGGCCTGATATCGAAGCCTTCGTGCTCCAGGAACGGTGACTGGTTGTGCTTGTGGATCATGACTTTCACCCCCGCCTTGGTGGAGAGCAGCGGGATGTGGTCCTTTTGCTCCACCTTTAGAATGAGGGACAGGCCTGATGGCAAACAGGAGCAGAGACAGGGAGGGAGAGAAGAACAGAAGCACGTGTTCACACCAGTTCCATATGAGCAGGAAGTCATGTCAGCTTGTGGCGAAGGCCAGTTCCTCCCAGTTGTCCCCCTACGGAACCTGATACGTAGAAGACCTTCCACTTACATTCAGGGCTATTTTTGGGGAGGAATGCACAGGAACGGAGTTCCGGCTGGCTCACGAGTTGGCCACACCCAGCAGGAACTCATTAGCATAATAGGCCACACCCAACAGCAGGAACTCATTAGCATAATAGGCCACACCCAACAGCAGGAACTCATTAGCATAATAGGCCACACCCAACAGCAGGAACTCATTAGCATAATAGGCCACACCCAACAGCAGGAACTCATTAGCATAATAGGCCACACCCAACAGCAGGAACTCATTAGCATAATAGGCCACACCCAACAGCAGGAACTCATTAGCATAATAGGCCACACCCAACAGCAGGAACTCATTAGCATAATAGGCCACACCCAACAGCAGGAACTCATTAGCATAATAGGCCACACCCAACAGCAGGAACTCATTAGCATAATAGGCCACACCCAACAGCAGGAACTCATTAGCATAATAGGCCACACCCAACAGCAGGAACTCATTAGCATAATAGGCCACACCCAACAGCAGGAACTCATTAGCATAATAGGCCACACCCAACAGCAGGAACTCATTAGCATAATAGGCCACACCCAACAGCAGGAACTCATTAGCATAATAGGCCACACCCAACAGCAGGAACTCATTAGCATAATAGGCCACACCCAACAGCAGAAACTCATTCAGATTGGCTACATTAGGGGTGTGTGGCCTAACATGTAAAGGAGTTCCTGCTACAAAAAAAGCCCTGGGTTTGGACAACAAACAAGGTAAACAGAATAACAAGCGAAAGGTGGGTGTGGCTGGATGAGCACAGTTCTGGTAACATGGGGGTGTGGCCTAATGTGCTAATGAGTTGTGTTGTCAGGGGTGTGGCCTAATATGCTAATGAGTTCCTGCTGGGCTTTTTCTACAAAAAGAGCCCTGCTTACATTCGTGCCCCGACACCATAGTCAGTAACAACAAAAGTAACTACAACGAGCCTGGGGGGGGGGTGCATTACTTGGTCATTTTTAACCACAACATTAGAGGCACCCACAGGAGCTAGAGGCACTGACATAGAGAAGAAGAAGAGGAGGAGGAGGAGGAGGAGATTGGATCTATACTACCCAAAGGAGTCTCAGAGCAGCTTACAATCTCCTTCCCTTCCCCTCCCCGCAACAGACACCCTGGGAGGTAGGTGGGGCTGAGAGAGCTCTTTTGTGGACTGCTCTTGAGAGAACAGCTCTGAGAGAACTTGTGACTGACCCAAGGTCACACCCACAGCTGCGTGAGGAGGAGTGGGGAATCAAGCCCGGTTCTCCCAGATTAGAGTCCACCACTCTTAACCACTACACCAAACTGGCCAGATAAGGATTCGAAGACCTGGAACCGGAACATATACAGACATAGGCGCTAGCAAACATAAATACTAATAAGTGATGGTGGCGTTCTCTCAGCATCTAGATGGGTCAACTCCCACCAGAGTCTGAGTTCTTGCCAGGCTGTTGGTTAGTAAGTTGGTGCTGATGTTGGGGACTTCCTGCAGGCCAAACAAGTACTCTACCACTGAACCACGACCGCTCCATTTTTTAAAAAGGTTATCAGTAGAAGGTTTTATGTGTATTTAGTCCTCCTTGGGCATAACGCAGGCAGGGCTGGCAGCCATTCCTCCTCAAGGTACATACCGTAAAGTATTCCAGGCTTGGAGGCCTGCCACTTGATATCCGTCCCGTTGCTGTTGAAAGTGAAGCAGCTTCCGTAGATCGCGTGGTGGAAGTGTCTGCAGTCGCTGTAAAGTCAACCGAAGAAGAGAGAGGGAAGGAGAAGATGTAAGAGCGTGAAACCGAGATGAGGCACACAAGCAAAACGTCAGCATTCTGACAGTTTCCCAACCAGGATCTGGCAACTCTACCTCTCTGCCCCCCACCGGTGGCCAGGAGCAACCTGGTAACCCTAGCCCCTGATCTTGTTAGATCTCAGAAACTTAACAGGGTCGATACTTGGAAGGGAGACCACCAAGGAAGCCTCTGCAGAGGAAGGCCACGGCCAACCACCTCTGCTTCTCACTTGCCTTGAAAAGCCCCTTGCTGAGTTCACCATAAGTCGGCTGTGACCTGACGGCCCTTTCCACCAGCACACATTTGTTGTTGGATTTGGCGTGCCCTGTTTCGCTGCATTTGTTTCTTTTGTACTGTTTTAATGCCACCTATATACCATCTATGTACATTATATGCCATTTATATGCCACAATTTAACAAGAAAGATCCGATGTTAGAAAACAAGAATTGGGCGTGAAAACGAGAGCGATTCCCAAACTGGAATCTTCTGAGCTGAACCGGCGAGGGTGAGAAATTCAGAATCCTTTCTCGAATGGCCACACCAGTGACAAATGTTCCAAATCCCCCTATTAAATGCCATTCAAATTTGGCGACTACTTTTATGAGCGATGTTTCCTCGAAAAAGAACAGAACAGATCAAAGGCCCTTGTGAACTCCACCTCTGGTGATTGCAAAGTACATAACATTAGGTGCTGCTAACTGCTTGGGCAAACATTTGTTCTATCTTTATCTCCCAAAGTTCTGCGGTTAGGATTGCTTGGCTTCTTGTTTGGGTAGTGTGGCTGGTTATCCGCCGCCTTGGCTGCACCAAAAGAACAACTGGTACAGTCACACCATGTCCTGAGCAGGGCAGATGGGGACGGGAGGAGGGATGGGCAAGAAGCCACACGAGAGCACGGCGATTAAATGCCACGCACGGCAATTGATCTAAGCCACATTTTATCAGATCGGTTATGCAACGACCAGAAGTCTTGTAGGCAAAAAGTCTTGCACCTATCGGGGTTATGGAGGCCGGCCTCCAGGTGGGATCCAGGGATCTCCAAAAATTACAGTTCATCTCCATAACTACGGAAATCAGTTCGCCTAACGATAGAGTTGCCAGGTCCCATTGCTGTTGTGGTGGGGGAATTTGGGGGGTATTCCAGGGATGGGCAGGGCACCACGCACAATGCCTTCGAAACCCAAAGTCTGCCCAAAAACCAGAGCATCGTGTGCAATGTCATCAACACGATGACGTGAGTTCTAGGTGATGTGATCGTGTTGGGGGGCATCACGTGATCCCCCCACGTGCGGGGGTTTCGCCCAGCAGCCAGCTGGCCGGTAGCAGACCCAAGCCCCCCAAAACAGGAGAATTCCCGGGAACCCTACCTAATGAAAGTGGATGCTTTGAAGGGTGGACTTTCTGGCATTGTACCCCACAGTCCTCCTCTGGCTCCGGCCCTAAAGCTCCGGGAGTTCCCCAGCCTGGATCTTGCAACCCTCCCCTCCCCATCCCCCACCAGTGGCTGGGGTAGAAGAGAGAGGATGCATTTCCTGGGGGTGCAAGACTGTTACTTCCTTCAGAGTGTGAGCAGGAAGCGCTGCTTGCACTCTGATTCAGCGCCAGCAGAGGTCATTTCGGGGGGGAACGCGGGGGATCGCAGTTCCCCCGGGTGAGGTGCAGGAGGGCGGGGCACCCCCTGCTTCCGGCTGCCCCGCTTCCAGCCCTCATTCAGCCAGGAGGAGGCAGGAGAAGAGGGAGGGTAAGTTGCTTCCTCCCCGCCTCTCCCCACCCCTGCCTGCCTGGGGCCAGGGAGGGCCTTGGCGGGGCTTCCTCGCACTCCTGTTGGCCTTGCAGGTCCACCGCCGGGCCCCTGATGTCAGGGGGTGTGGCATATGCTAATGAGTTATGCTGATGAGTTCCCCTAGCTCTTTTTCTACGAAATGACCCCTGCCGGGATGTCATCCTGTCGCCAGCTCTGGCTGCCTGTCATGGAGTTGAGGAACGTGTGGGGGCCCGTTTCTTATTTCGAAAGAAGACTCACAGGTTCAATGTGCAGAAGTGAGAAGTGAAGTTGATACTGGGATTTGGTGGTCTGACAGGGATGAGGCTTTTGACACCATCCCTAACCATGTTAGTGCATGGTTTATTTTATTTATTTTAAGGGTACCAAAGGACATCCCAAGAGAAGCAACTAGTGCAAAAAAGTTGATGGTTTCTTTGAAAAAGAAGAAGAGAAGAAGAGATTGGATTTATACCCCGCCCTTCACTTGGAGTCTCAGAGCGGCTTACAATCTCCTTTCCCTTCCCCTCCCCACAACAGACGCCCTGGGAGCAGAGTTCCCTCTAAACTGAGTTAGTGTGAGCTAGCTCACAGTTTTTTTAGCTCCCAGCTCACACCTTTTTGTCTTAGCTCAAGAAAGATGGTCCCAGAGCAAACTAATCTATGCTGCAGCCAAATGACTCACTCACAACTTTAATGCCAGTAGCTCACAAAGTAGAATTTTTGCTCACAAGACTTCACAGCTTAGACGGAACATTGCCTGGGAGGCAGGTGGGGCTGAGAGAGCTCTGACAGAAACTGCTCTTTCTCAAGAACAGCTGTGCCAGAACTATGGCTTGCCCAAGGTCATCCAGCAGGTGCAAGTGGAGGAGTGAGGAATCAAACCCAGTTCTCCCAGATTAGAGTCCATGCACTTAAGCACTACACCAAACTGGCTCTGGGGTGTGTGTGTGTGTGTCTGTTAGAGAATATTTCAGCTGTTAACCCCTCCTCCCCGAAGATGCACACTCATGAAAATCTGAGTCATTCCTTACTGCTAGCCATGCTGTGCGATTACTCTTGATACTACGAAATCGACTGAAGTCACTGATATTCAAATGGCAGATTGTGATCGACCTGCTGCTGGATCATTATCACAATCTAAGGTGTGCTACTCCTGCAGGAGCACTGTTTCTCTTTACCTGCCTGAGTTCCATTGTTTTATCCTTTCTGTTCATGTGCCATTTACTGATGCACCAGTTATCTATAAGTTTAGAAGTGGTCCCCCCCCCCACTTTTTGTTATGTTATCAGTGCAACACCTGTACACTGGTAAGAGGGAAGGAAGAGATGATACCAATGCACTGAAGGGACTGAAAGGGGCAACAAATTGCACATAATTAACACATGGAATTCACTGCCACAGGTGGCAGCAGCTACAAGCATGGACGGCTTCAAGAGGGAATTAGAGAAGCATATGGAGCAGAGGTCCATCAGTGGGTATTAGCCACAAGGTATAGATAGGCTGTGGAAGGTCGGTAGTTCAGCAGTTCAAGACCCGGGTGCCGCATGATGGAGTGAGCTCCTGTCTCTAGTTCCAGCTCCTGCCAACCTAGCAGTTCGAAAGCAAGAAATTGCAAGTAGATAAATAAGTATCACTTCGGTGGGAAGGTAACAGCGTTCCGTGCGCCTTGGTGTTTAGTCATGCTGGCCACATGACCACGGAAATGTCTTCGGACAGTGCTGGCTCTTCGGCTTTGAAACGGAGATGAGCACCGCAACCCTAGAGTCAGATTCGACTGGCTTTCGAGCAAGGGAACCTTTACCTTTACCTTTTATAGATAGGAACCCTTGGTCTGGGGCAAGTGATGCTCTGCATTCTTGGTGCTTTGGGGGGGAGCAACAGTGGGAGGGCTTCTAGTGTCCTGGCCCCACTGCTGGACCTCCTGATGGCGCCTGGTCTTTTTGGCCACTGTGTGACACAGAGTGTTGGACTGGATGGGCCTTTGCCCTGATCCAACATTGGCTTCTCCTATGTTCTTATGTTCACGTGCCCCGCTTCTGGAACTGAACACGTGAACACATGATGCTGCCTTCTACTGAATCAGAGTTTTGGTCCATCCAAGTCAGTGTTGTCTACTGAGACTGGCAGCTGCTCTCCAGGGTCTCAGGCGGAGGTCTTTTGTCATCTACTCCCTGGTCCTTTGTAACTAGAGATGCCGGGGATTGAACCTGGGACCTTCCGCATGCCAAGCGGACGCTCTGCCACTGACCCATGGCTTGATTTTAGGAGCGTGAGAAGAGGGATGGATTGTAGCACAGAGTGGAGTTCTGGAACAATCAGGGAACGGAGGGGGGAACTCCACTTATCTCCAGTGTAAAGCAGGCTGTCCATCTACGCTTGGTATTGTAAACGTCTTGCCTTATCGTGGCTTCTCATTTAAAACAAATTAAGATCGATCTGGACTTTGTTCTTGTTTTTTTTTTAAAGATAGGCAAATGAGGAAGGAAAAAGAGGGGGAGACAGAGCTGCGTGTCTAGTTTTTAAAAAAACAACCACACCACCACAGAGGATCCCAGGTTGCCACCTCCAGGTGGGACCTGGGGATCCCTTGGAATTCCAGCTCATCTCCGGACTACGGAGATCAGTTCCCCAGGAGAAAGTGGATGCTCGGGGGGGTGCGCTGTATGGCCGTGCGCCCTGCCAGCATCCCTCCCTTCCCCAAACCTCACCCTTTCCGGGCTCCATCCCCCCCTAATCTCCAGGAATTCCCCGAGCTGGAGCTGGCAACTCTAATAGACCTCCCCCCCTTGGGGATTCCAGTTTGACCCCGGGGACCAAAGAGACTGAAGACCAATGTTCCCTCTAAGCCAGTGATGGCGAACCTTTTAGAGACCGAGTGCCCAAACTGCGACCCAAAACCCACTTATTTATCGCAAAGTGCCAACACGGCAATTTAACCTGAATACTGAGGTTTTACTTTAGAAAAAACAGCTCATACAGTAACTTAAGATGATCCAAACAAAGTAAGGAAAGCAATCCCAAATGCTTTCATTTACTTAAAATTATTTGGCAGAGAATTCGACACCTTAATAATGGTCTGGGCCTGGCTGGGGCGATGGCACGTGTGCCCACAGAGAGGGCTCTGAGTGCCACATCTGGCACCCGTGCCATAGGTTCGCCACCACTGCTCTAAGCTGAGTTAGTGC